AGAGGTGTGGAAATCAAATTGCATGACTCTGGCGAAGTTTATTCGTCAACGTGGGCTTTAGAGTTCAAGAAAACTATATGGAACTTTTAATGCTGATAAAATTCCAGACAATTGTCCCGAATTTCGCACACAAACACTTATCTAGTTCGCTTTTTAATAATCCTATATAGGAACTTGTAAAAAAAGTGTCCTCAATTTATGAAATAAATAGTGTGGAAACTTAAACATTGAATTTGTTAAATAATAACATGTATTACTTAATATAAGTGACACGCGCTACGTATGGATTTAAGCGGGGATCTGTTTTATTATAGTCTGTTTTATAATAAATACTCACTGCATAATATAGTATAAAATGTCCAATGGCACGAAAAAGAAAAAACTTTTACGTATGTTTACATTTTCTCATAAAAAATATTTAGTAAGTATTTTTTTATCAGTGTTCGTAAACTTCGTTCTCACTTCAATAGGGATAAAGACTATTTTTCTTCGTCTACCAGGTAGATAATCAAAAAGTATTGGATCTCTTTTTATTTTACTTTTTCGCATAACCAAACCATTACAGAGATGTCTAAAAAAATGTTAGATTCGAAATGTCCGTGACGTCACGTTTCCTTACAATTTATACTAAAAAGTGACGTCACGAGTCCCCCACTCCCAAACATTAACGCGCTAAACTTTATCTTTGTCATTGTTTGGTTAATTAACAAAAGAAAAAATAAGTGTCTATTATTGTTTGTTGAGAACTTCGTTCACTTTACCCCGTCATCATCACTAATGTTTGTTATGTTTTAAAATAATCATAAGCAAATAAAATATTGGATATTACAAAAGAGCTTTCATTAATTCAATTTGAATTAAGTATAATTTCATTTCATAAAACTTTATAGAAGTGGGAAAACCCTGGTCTCAACTTAATATTATATTCATAGCTGAATGATGTATTGATTTGTACCGACATAGTTATTACTAAACGTCGTTACTCTTCACAAAATGTACGCTATGTTAAGTCCATTTTCTCTTATAAAATTAAAAGGAACACAAGCTTGTAAAAAAACAATAAAAAGTAGTTCCATTAAAATGGTGTCTTTTTGATTTGTCACGCCGAAAACCAATTGAAGAACAGTTTACACCTGCACTTTTATTGGTAAAGATTTATATACTACCTACCTATACCTGATTAGGTCATGATGTTTTCGTCATTGTTTTCGTATTAATACTCACATGTGCTTTTGCCCTAACACTAAACAGATTAAGCAATAAAAAGTTCACCGGACGACTGCAAAACATTGGCAAATGGCGGGATACAGTTTGTTTACATACACCATACTTTTATGGCTCGCGCGCGTAGAAGACGAAGAGATTGTCGTAAAATCTGAATGCATTCGGTTGTTCCATTACTTTCATTTGTTGAAAATGGGAAACCCATTCGTTCCGGAATGCACTAGCAGAGCTGCTTTTACAATGTGACGACGCGATGCCGGCGCACAATGCGCCACGAATAGAGAATGCATTTCGGAATGAAGTGTTTTACGGAGATTAAAAAGTGAGTCTACTTTTAGACTTCTTTTCTTATTTGAGATATTTTAGCTTGCAGTAGGTTCGGTCAACTGAGCTAACTACATAGCTAATGGAACTATCATTCCTTTCCTTTTGTTTAGTCCATACCAAGTAGAAATGAAAATTAATAATAATCCGTTTTTTATATTTTTTCTCTCCTAGTTATATTAACGCCGCGCCACCTGCAAGGTACATTTGAGATAGGTATTAATTTTTTAATTTCATATTTTTAGGGTTCCGTAGTCCTGACAAGGAAACCTTATACCTATAGTTTCGTCATATCCGTCTGTCTGCCCGTCCCCGATTTTGCTTGGAGACTAATAGCACTAGAGAGCTGTAATTTTGTGGAGATATTTAAATCAATCACGCCGACAAAATGGTAAAATAATATTTTGAAAAATATTTTTTTAGGGTATCTCTGGGGATGTTTTTTTTATCGTCTACTCCATCGTCTGGGGTATCGTTGAATAGGTCCTTTAAAATTATTTAGGGGCTCCTAAGACATTTTTTTTATTGAGGGGTCTGTTTGCGAAATATTGAACTTTAAAGTGCTAATCTTTGATCGAGTGGGGCGTCCCGCCTCTAAGCTTACATTGGCTTGAAAAGCGTGGAAAAATTCATGACAATAGTGATTTTCATGAAATTGATGGATTTGTTAGTTTAAGAGTAATAGACGTTCAACTTTGGTAAAAGAAGTTTGATATTATGTCTGTCCATTCTATAATTATCTTTTTGACAGATCGACGCCCATGAACTTTTGTATTGTTTACGTTAAAATGTCATACAAATAATATTGTACTTCCTGGACGGGTACCGCCCACTTAGTGATGTGCCATACATAATGATTACTAAGATTGTGCCACAGATTACAAATAATAGGTAGAAATAAATGAGTACAATCAAATTGTAAGGAAGAAACCAAGTAATTAAAATATTAAATAAATGTCTTCTTAGTTTATTTTTAATTTATTAAGATGTATCAGATTCTTCATATAAACTGGACTCATCTTCAGATGTGTCCTCGGTTTTAATGATGAGTTCATTCTGTTGTATATTGTCAAAGGCAATATCTCGACCCCAGTCAGGCAGTATAATTTTCTTTGTTCGTTCAACGATACCCGCCCAGTTTTCAGGTGTAACATCACCACACGCGTTATTTAAAAGCTCCATCATCTTGTTTGTTGTGAACGGCGGCGTGGTGTTCTTTCTTGCGTTTTGGTTGTTTATTTTCATTTAAAAATGTTTACTAATTCTACTTTAAAGTAGGAGTCGTCCACATCCTTGCCATTAGCACGAAGCCAGTTAATAATCTCTGCTTTACTATTTGCTTGTGTGGGCATTTTATTTATTTGCCGAGAATGATAGGGTGCGTTATCAATATATATCACCGAAGGGCTCTTCTAACGATAACAGTATTTCCCTAAACCAATTTTCGTAAACTTCCGCGTTCATTTCTTCGTGATAATCACCAGATTTTTTTGATTTGAAAACTAATAGAGCATCTGCCACAAATCCTTTTGATTATTTACCAATAGGTACAGCGGAAGTTGAGGCAGCAGTATCGTCAGTCTACGATTTTGAGACTGTATGATTAGCATTAAGCCAGGTGTCATCGGTAAATACAACATCGGGCCAGTCTACTATATTTTTCGATTGTCTCAAAAATGCGCACCGAGCAAGAGCAATATCGTGACGTACCATCAAAAACTTCTTTTTATCTGATTTTTTAAAATAAAATCCAATTTGCCGTAACACTTTTGACCGCGAAACAAGTCACTATTTCGCAGTGATAGGACCATTTTTCTTAAGGTTGGGATTTCTTTTCTTTGATAATAGTCATATATATGACGACGAATAACGTCGGTATCAAAGTTGTCAACAGCGGTAACTCTCGGGGCCGACGTTTCTTTTTTGGTGTTGAGAGTGTGTTTTGTTTATTTCACAAATTATTTATATGAAATTACAATATTATTTTACAATAAAACGTCACTTCAAACGCGTTATAAAGAAAGTATAAAAAAGAGGTTGATAGTCCCCAACAGACTTTTCAACTTGAGGTTTGATAAAATGTTCAAAAAGAAGAATTACGTTGAAACTGTCGCAAGATCAGTGAACAAGTGACTTCAAAATGGCGCCATAATACACCACCACAACGTGGTGTTACCAACACTCAAAAATATTTAAACTTAAAAAGTCAAAGATATAGTTTTTTTATAAACCTTTTTTTTAAATGAAATTATTAATTATAATCACACAGAGTATTTGTATTAAGATAAACAACAAACATATAAAAAATATACTGCTTTTTATTGTATATGGATACATACATATTACAGATAAATCACACCCAGACACAGAACAAATACTCAGTACACAAATATTTGTACTTGGTAAAATAATATCTAATGAGATTTTGTAATAATTTATTAAACACCAGTATTTTTGATAACTAAAATAATTTCGATACTTATAATCGATTAAACAATGTTCTGGCATAAAATCGATTATAGCTTTAAACCGTAGTACGAGTTATGTGATAGGGTGTCACTATTTTTACTTCGATCGATCTGTCAAAAAGATAATTAGCATAGACAGATTATATTTGTTTTTTTTTTAGTTTCCGATACAGAAAATAAAGACTCTTGCTTAAATCTATTTTTGTAACGACAGGCAACAACGGAACCCTACACTGCGTGTGGCGCGACACGCACTTTGCCAGATTTATTTACGTTATTTTATTCAATCTCTTTAGAGTATAATTGAGTTTTTCTGACATAATGCACGAATTAAAAGTACCTAATTACTACTTTTAATAGTAACGTCACAGATATTAACATCAGAAAAGCAATCCGTCTTCATTGTTGTAGCAATTAAATGTAAATCGCCTAAGCAAGTACACATTTCGATTACTTATTTGTGATGACGAATTCAAAGTTGTCGTTATAAAAATATTTATATTTTGTTACAAGGTAGGGCTAAATATGCAACCTTCTTAATTTACAAAGAATACTTGGATCGGAATATTTTAAAGCTTAAATTAAACGATTCTAAATTTTATTAGTGTTGCAAAAAAGTGTAGTCCATTCAAGATTAATACAACTATTACTACATGCATTGCAATCACACATGAGCAAAACAATTCAGATATTGCGTAGTACTTTCGACCCGGTTATTCTCTTTGTTTAACTTTCAGCCTCAAGGTAAGAAGGTGGAAGCAACATTTTTCAAACAGACACAGCCATCAAACATATTTTGCTTTAAATTAAGACAAAAGTTTTTAATGAGTCAAAAGAAAACTCCTTCACTTGTGGAATCCGCAGTTCTACATAGAACAACAAAAATAACTTGTGTACGATAATAAACAAAGAAGGTAGAATTTAAGTCGATAGGAGTCACAACACCGATGTTACAGTAAAATAAAGATTAAGAACTAAATGTACCTCATTTCTGAGGGGTGGTGCGGCTCCGCATAGGGACAGGCGCCTGATTAGAGGCACTTCTGATCCCATGGACCGGGCCGCACATGCTGTGCGATACTCTCTACTGCGGCCCGCCTCCCCCACGCCTGCCCATGAGACGCAGCTACCATCTACACCAGACACCACTCAGCTATTAAACACACTAACGCTGCTTCGATAGCCTAAAACTTTCTATTGATAACGAACACAAAGCTGCTGTAGATGCGCTAATGTCTATTCAAGACGGCAAGCTTGCCAAGCGATCGATTCTAGGAAAACCATTTCGATGGCATCCCATAACGGAGCATCCCGCGTCGTCGAGTCGTAGCGCTGTCGGCTCGCGACGAGGGTCGATCGACGAAAACGATGGTCCATTATGTAATACTGACTTAGGCGCTGCCTAGCTCGCAATATAGCTTTGACTACTCTGCTGATAAATATATCGAAGCGATAATTTTGCTACGTAACATAATGAAGGCAAGATAAAGAGTAAATTCAGGGACTAACCGATGGAGCATCGGAGCAGTCGGACGCGCAACAACCGACCGTCGGTGACGGGTCGCCCACACAACAGAGTTAAAGAGGCTCCAGTTCTTCCGAAGGTGGCGACAGCGTGAAAGCCCGGGCTACGACGACTGATCGTCGTGTCAACTTTACCTATGTATCGTCATGAACCGGTAGAGGGCGGATGGGGGGCGCGTGGCGCGACACCGCACGGCAAAGCGCGGAACAGCACGCGGCAGGCCCGCTCTACTAGACGGCGCGCGGCGGGCGTGAGATCACCGGATACTTTACCTAGCGGCGGCGCGGCGAGGTGTGGGGCGAGAGTCGGAGCGGCACGAGTGTGCGGGCGTCGGGCGGCGGGCGCGGTCGGTCGCTGCGGTCAGCGGTCGCGGCGCGGCGCGGCCATCGCGGCGGCGCGGCAGGCGGCGGCGTCTCGCGCACTGCCGGCGCGCCGCCGCCGCCGCCCCGCCCGCTCCCGGGCCCGCGCACGCGCCCGCCGGACACACGACCCCCCCAGCCCCACCCGCCTACTTCACCGAATTGATCAGCCGGATCCTCGATTGCAATGAAATTTATGACAGGTCGTGGATCTATTATCGACGTGATACTCGCCGACCGAGCCGCCTATTATTCGCAGGCTCGATAAAAGTCGAGATTGGAAATGGATTAGACACTTACCTATGCGTAGGACCAAATTATCCACTTAATCCCATTTTTTAATAAATCTATTTATATACTTAACTGAAATAATAGAATATAACAGAAATACAGGAACATAAAAAAATTGGTCCTGTTTGGTGCAGCACGGTATCATATGATCGCATTTACTGTATCCACGATTCTGCGGGATCGAAACTCGCCAGTAGCGATAAAGTATATTAGTATAGTTATGTGATGAGCAATTTAAAGTACCTACCTATTTAAATTGGTTACATAGTATCGGGTTTTGATTTTTAAATTTCAATATTGAAATCAGTGAGAACTACTGCTTAATTGGAATTTCATGATTTATCAATCATAATAAAAAATAATAGGTATCTAACAAGCAGGAAGCAGTTTTGAAATAGTTAACTTGTTAAATCTTATTTCCTTTTTCCATTCAGATTATATTAGGTAGGCTAGGTAGTTATTATGTAACACTTACTTAAGTAAGCACAACAAATTGAAATCATTGTGCCGCGAAATTTACAGTTTCATTTCAACGTTAACTTTCTCACTTAAAATGAGGAGAACCAACAACTACTTACTGCATTAAACAACGTAATCTAAGATATCCAATTTACTGAAAGCAATTACTGTTACAATTAAGGCAGATAAGTAGCCTATTAAAACGTTTACAAGATGTGATAAAAAATGAGATATTTGTACAGCTCTAAAAAGTAGGTAGGTACTGGTATAAAATAAAAAATAGTATAAAAATGTTGATCCGCTACGTTGCTACTCGACCGTAGCGCATACAATTTGCATTATTGCTTCGTAAAAACCTTTAAAACATGCACATATCAACGAGCTTCGAGCACTTCGGTTGGCAGCACTCAGTGTGTGGATTTTCTTTGAGGCCTTAGGTGATATTTCTTGTGAAATGTGATAAAATACAACAGGAAAAGAAAATCTTTTCTTTGGTCTTGAAAAAGCTTTGTAGCTATTTAAGTAACAAATAACGCCTATTAAAAAAATATTGTATCTATATAATCTGATTCAATTCAATATTTGTATTGGCTCCATGAGGTAAATTACAAATAAGTTGTTATTGTTTATAAAAAAATGATAACTAAAGATGATAAGCCATTTTAAATTATGTTTTTCGCTCGCTCTTTCTCTCGTAGCGTAGCGAAGCGTTGTAAGTGGGGTTACAACGCTTCGCATGAAAAAAAGCATGAGAACTAGTGCAGATTTTTGTCAAATCGAATTATGGTCAAAAAGAATCAAATAACAATCAAGCAGTATTGAGGCAGTAAACCAAGAATATTGTGAAAACTATCCCTTTGTACGTTTTATTATTTACTTACCTAGTATTCTTAAGTCAAGCCCTCAATCATTTAGTAACTTCACCATCATTCTTTCTTGACCCAATGCAAGTTTTGGCTATACCGCAAATTATTTCACCGAAAATCTTTTTTCTTGTTTGTAGAAATATCCCTCCCAACCCTTTAAATTGGTTGCAAATAGTTATTTATGATACAAGTGCGGTAAGTTGGTTATTACAAACGAGTAGACGAATGTACGAGTATATATAACGAAGTCGAGGGCTTTCCATTGTCACGAGTTTGCAAATACCAATCCGCACGAATGTAATACAACGTTTTTTAACACATTTGCCAGAAAACAGTACCTACATCTTTCCAATCCCCTATTATCACCCACCAATCCTTTATTATCACCCTCGAAACGCTTTTACCCTCCAATCGCCCTTTTCACCCTCGAATGCCTTTTCATCTTCAAATCCCTTTTCACCCTCGAATACCTTTTTCACCCTCCCATTCTTTATCACCCTCCAATCCCCAGTATCGTCCACCAATCCCCTATTATTACCCATCAATCCACACTGTTACCCACTAAACCCTTATTATTACCCACCAACCCCCTTATCACCTTCCAATCCCCCTTTGCACCCTTGAATTCCCTTTTCAACATCGAGTAGGTACCCATTTAGACCCTCCAATCCCCTTTTCACCCTCCAATCCACTTTTCACCCTCAAATTCCCTTTTCGCATACCAATCTCCACTATCACATACCAATCCCCTTATCACCCTCGAATCGCTTTCACTCACGAATCCTCTTTTCACCCTTCAATCTCTTTTAACCCTTGAATCCCCTTTGGGTGTAAATCTTCTTTTCACCCTCCAATTCCTTTTCACTTACCAATCCGTACTATCACCAACCAATCCCCTATTATCACTCATCAATCCACATTATCATCCACCAATCCCTTATTATCACCTACTATCCCTTTTCACCCTCGAATTCCCTTTACACCCTCCAGTACCCTTTTCACCTACCAATCCCCACTATCATCCACCAACCCCCCTCAATCGGCCATAAATACCCACTATCACCCACCAAACTCTTACTATCACCCATAAATCCCGTTCATCCACCAATCCCCCTTTTCACCATCGATTACACTTTTCGCCCTTGAATCCCTTTTCACGTACGAATCCCCACTATCACCCACCAATCCCCTATTATCACCCATTAATCCCCACGATCACCCACCAATCCCTTATTATCACCCATCAATACCTTTTATCGAAGAGCTCGATGGCGCGGGTGGTTAGCTCGTTCGGCTACGATCGTTGAAGTTGGGCAACTTTCGGTCGGTCGGATGGGTGACCAAAAATCTTCTATGTCAAGTTCCTCCGTGCTTCTGAAGGCACGTTAAATCGTTGATCCCGGCTGCATCTGTAGTCGTTAGCACCCGCCAATCCGCACTCCCGTGGTGGGTCATGGCCCAATCTCCCTGTTCCATCCAAAGGGAAGGCCTGTGCCCCAGCAGTGGGTACATTAATAGGCTGATGATAATGAATCCCTTTTCACCCTCCAATCCCCTTTTCACCTACCTATCTTTTGTGCTCATTTAGTTTAATAACTTTCTGATGTAGAAATATGGCATTGAATAAATCAATCTGCCCAGAGTTTCTAAAAGAGAAGAGGTTTTGGGAAATTATATCAGATTTTAATTGTACGTATAGGAAAGGCTCGTACAATGTTTATACCCACTACACCATATATCGAGAAGGACAACAATAGTCAACAAAAAACAAAATACTTTGAGGAATCAATGTTCCTGCATACCATGACTAATACACCTAACAGGTTCGTACCTTTGTTAAACTCATATAATCAAGATGGGTGTAGTGATTTATATCATATGCCAACATGGTAAAATTCCAAACTGATGTACACCCGAAAATAGAGAGACACGGACTTACAACTTCCTCGACTCCTAAGAAAATACCAAGCAATAACAATCAAAGAACTATAACGACTATAAGAAAGCATTCGGGATCACATACTTTAGAAGACATACCATCCCACGGTTATGAGGCCGATTATATCAGCCCTATCGTAACAAAAGTAATTTATATCAGTACCCCTAGCACGAACCATTATCGAATTCGAATAGTTTGCAAACCGAAATGTCAATGTAAAATTTTGTATGGAAACTTGAACAGCAGCAGCACAAAGTACCTAACGAGAACTAAAAATCAGTACACATTTGACAATGACATTTTGGACTCGCAAACAATACGAATTCGATATTGGTTCATGCTAGGGATACAGAAGAAAGATGTCACTGTTACGTCTAAAAGAAATCAGCTTTATGAAATCAAGTACATTTCAAGAAAAAATTAAAAGCTTAAATAAGTGTAGCATTTTCATTAGTAGAGGATAGGCCAGTTTTGAAATTCATACTATTAATGGATAATACAAACTATGAAAAGCTTAAAAAACAACATTCAATGGAATTCACAGAGTTTACGGCCTAAGTTAACTTGTTCTGAAAATTTATTACTAGAGGAGAAAATACATATTGCTGCCGTATGCCGAGCCGACTTGGTTGGATGATAGTATGTATATTAAAATTTAAGATTATAACATTTTCAGACGAGACAGAGAGGGCTTTTATGTCGGTATAGCAATTTGTATACAAAAATCAGTCAGAGCCCAACTAATAAATACCTCACACAGAAATTCTGGAATAGAACTCATGCACGTAAACTTTATAACTGCTCGGTTTTTGAAAATATAATAATGATTTACTGCTCATCTTCGGTGCGCACTAGTGTTCAGAATTGGGCCGATTACCATTGCTAAGGAAAAATCCATTATACTCGGTGACTTCAACGGACATCATTCATCCTGATCCCGCAAAGATGATCAAAGAGGAAAACAAATTTACGAGGCTCTATTGGATAATAAGTTAATAGTTACTCAGAATGATTGCTCTCCTACTAGGATTAAATTGGTCAATGGCGTTTCACAAGGGTATGCCCCAGACATCTTAATGGCTACTACAGATATTGTAGTAGAACTTGACTACAAGGTTTTACAACAAACTCTTGGAAGTGACCACTGGATTGTTAAGATTTCGATGTCCTTCTCGCCTATATTGCCACCGGTCAAAAAGAGACACTTTAAAAGAGGTAACTTTGATTCCTACAGTAGACTATTGGAAATTGTGTTCGAAAGCTTTCAGGTAACAAACGATCTACAAAAAAATTACAAATTTATGCTGCAGCTGCTAGCTGCAGAATTATATATCCCATACACGACACTAAAGGCTTGTGACTTATCAAAGGCTTTTGATTGCGTTTTTCATGAAACATTGATCAGGAAACTTCACCACTATGGATTTAGAGATACCACTCTTTGTATCTTATTTGAGTGATAGGATTCAGAGGGTTGACATCAATGGAGTAAAATCTCCTGGTTCGTCAGT